TACGTCAAAAAACCATATGAAATATTCTTCCTTGATGGACTTGACCTATTTTTACACCTTTTGGTACGTCAAAAAAACCATATGAAATATTCTTCCTTGATGGACTTGACCTATTTTTACACCTTTTGGTACGTCAAAAAACCATATGAAATATTCTTCTTTCATAGATATAGCCTATTTTACGTTAATAACCAAAACCATGTGAAATATATTTCCTTGAAAGACATGACCTATTTCTACACCTTTTGGTATGTTAAAAAACCATGTGAAATATTCTTCCTTGATGGACTTGACCTATTTTTACACCTTTTGGTACGTCAAAAAAACCATGTGAAATATTCTTTCTTGATGGACTTGACCTATTTTTACACCTTTTGGTACGTCAAATAACCATGTGAAATATTCTTCCTTGATGGACTTGACCTATTTCTAAACCTTTTGGTATGTTAAAAAACAATGTGAAATATTCTTCCTTGATGGACTTGACCTATTTCTACACCTTTTGGTACGTCAAAAAACCATGTGAAATATTCTTCCTTGATGGACTTGATCTATTTCTACACCTTTTGGTATGTCAAAAAACCATATGAAATATTCTTCCTTGATGGACTTGATCTATTTTTACACCTTTTGGTACGTCAAAAAACCATATGAAATATTCTTCCTTGATGGACTTGGCCTATTTTTACACCTTTTGGTACGTCAAAAAACCATATGAAATATTCTTCCTCGATGGACTTGACCTATTTTTACACCTGTCGGTACGTCAAAAAACAATGTGAAATATTCTTCCTTGATGGACTTGACCTATTTCTACACCTTTTGGTATGTTAAAAAACCATGTGAAATATTCTTCCTTGATGGACTTGATCTATTTTTACACCTTTTGGTACGTCAAAAAACCATATGAAATATTCTTCTTTCACAGATATAGCCTATTTTACGTTAATAAACAAAACCATGTGAAATATATTTCCTTGAAAGACATGACCTATTTTTACACCTTTTGGTACATCAAAAAACTATGTGAAATGTTCTTCCTTGAAAGACTTGACCTAGCTTACATCTGTTTATGTTAACAAACGCAGTCATGTTAAATAATAACGTACATTTATCTTATTCGCGTGTTGTTTAGCACACGTGGCTGAAATAATATTTGGTCATTATTTATTAACTGTTGCACCTAATGATTCATCATAGTTCATCTGAATTATTTTTCTTACCAATTATGATTTATTCTTAATTTTTGTTACTTAATACACCCACCTAAAAACGTTCTTCGATCCTTATCTGAACTAATTTTTATCGCGCACTTTTCAAGATTTTATCACTTCCATCTAAGATATTTGTTATGTTTAGACTTATTTACTCTTGTACATTCTCATGCGTTCTCTTCAAGTAGATCAGATCTAGGGTTAGTCATTAGGACTTATTCATTCCTGCGCCTCTTCGTATTTCATCACAATATTTTTTAATAAACTTATTCACTTCTTACACTCTTTCGTGTGCTTGTCGCCTCATCAATCTGAAATATTGTTCGTATTTCACTTAAATTGTTTCTTGCCTGATTTCCTAGTTATTCAGCAACTGCATACGATAATGAAATAATGTTCCTCCGAGTTCTATTATGTTCCTCCGAGTTCTATGTCTGGAAAATTCTTTCGTTCCACTGAAATCAGGCTAATAATTTCGTGAACATCTATTTTATCTCTGGTCGCAGTGTATACATCTTGTAAAATGGGAAGCCGTTGCTAAGTGATTTTGTTTCTAGCTCAAAGTTACACAATGGGCTATCTGCATTGTGTCCACCGCGTGGAATCGAACCTCGGATTTTAGCGTTGTAACTCTACAAACTTACCGCTGATCGTTGGACGTTACTAAGGGTAAACAAGAATTACGACACAGAGCTAACGTAATGCGACAACCATTGCTTTTTTTTTCATGTAAAACAGTAATTTCTTACAAAGTTTACACCAATTTAGAAGTCTCCAGTGGCTCAGCGGTAAGTCTGTGGACTTATAACTCTAAAAATTAGTTTTCGATACCCGTGGTGGGCACATCATAAATAGCCCATCGTGTAGCTTTGTGCTTAAGTAAAAACAAACTAAACAAATTAAGGAAACTACATAAACATGTAGCTGAAGAACCAAAGCTATTTTCGTGGCAAGGTGCTCTCTTTTTTTCTGTTTTTTTTCCTTAAAGCACCCTTTTTAGTTTCTTTACGTTTGAACACCTATCTTCTGTCTTTTTCGGTTATCCATTTGCACCTGTCATCTCTTCTAGGTAGGTGAGTTAAGCAAGTAGTAAACAGAAAATCAAATAAAAACTTAACATAATATCAAAGAAGAATTTGTATTTCTTTGGTTATGTATAATGGTCCAGTCAACAATATATGGTGAGATCCCTCAAAAAATTAAAACGGAAGCGGTTTCTATTGCATTCGATTGTGATAAGCAGTGTCTACATATAAAAATCTCTCCCTGGGATTTGTGTGCTAAACATAGTTTTTGGGGGTAAAAGGTGGGAAAAAATGAACAAAAACGGCTAATTTTTTGAAATAATTCTACAAACTATAGCATAAATAATTTTTTTCTGGATTTTTATTTCTAAAATCATATATTTTCATCTTTTTTTTTAAAGAAAACAATGTGATTGATTAATATTTTCCGCTTATTTTTAGAGGATATGTTAAAAAATGACAAAATGGCTAATTTCCGAAATAATCCTACGAAAAATGAAATTTGATGTATACATATTTTCTGGATTTTGAATTAGAATTTGATCCCATTTTATAATTTTTAGTTCTAAGAAAAGGTAATAAGTTAAGAGTTTTCGATAATTTTTGGGAGCAAAAAGGTTTATGAGTGGTTAAAATGACTTCGTTAAAGGAGGTCGTAGCAGGAGGGGTTGGACTTTATGCCTCGTGCCTCAGTATAATGAAAAGGTTGGACACCAAAACATTACGTCACGACTCAGTAAAGTCTATAATATAAGACTTTACATTCCGTTCAATTATAAACTAATGTTGTCAGAAGAAATGATCGCTTTTTGTCCACAAATTTGGTGATAGAACAGACGCTGATGAGAAACCTGAGAACTGTTGTTGGTTTAACAAGAGGAAGAGGAGATACAGAAATTTAAAGAGCACTCTGTCTACTCTCTCGTCTTGCATATTCATAAATAAATGAAGCAACGCAGCGTTTTATTGGAACAACGTATACATTACCAGCAACCAGCATAAGGAGAGTAGTAAAATGGTAAACAGCAGAAAGGCCCGAAAGATACGCAGGCCTTGATGGAGTATTTACTTGAAAGAAACCCTTTATGGTGAGTTGAAGAGAACTTCAAGTGGAGTGGTAGCTTATGAAAGCAACCGGCAGGTAACGTGGGAACAACTGGCAGCAGGGCTATTGAGAAAATGAAATGGAAACAGTGCGAACGCCTTTACACTTAAAAAGAACAATCAGATCGTTACAATGAATGAGTAAGCTGAGTTGAGAACTGAAGGAGAAACAGTCAGAATAGATTCTCAGCTGTTATTCCAGATATTAGACATAACTGTTCCAGATAAAGAACTTACATCTCTGACCTTTGTACACGTCCCTTCGCCATGTTCGAGTCTCCACGTTTGTTGAGGAAAACTGATAAATCAGCTCTAGCAGAAGCTATGTGAGTCAGAGTTAATCCTGGCAGCAAAGATCCTGATAATGGTTCGAATTATGTGACAGATGTAGGATGTCGCAGTTATGGCCAAATTTGAGACGTCCATGGACAAGCTACAGTAGTTATAATAAGTAAACTTAGTATTCCGAAACTTGTTTAATTTCGAAGTCTAAGTTCAAGGGAGGTTCAGTTCGATCTACACTTTGATCAACGTGTGTTATTGGGTTATACTAGTTTCCGAAACTATTGTGCTATTATGCGGCTATATAATGTGAAGAACTGAATAGTGGCCAATGACACTTTTTCTTCAATTCACCTATCCAGTGTATAGGTTTTTCTCATAGTAACTACAAAGCACGTTCACACCAACAGTATGTTTGAAGCTACAGTAGTGTTTGAAAGTTACCAGGATGGGCTTTATACGAAGGACAATACACGTCAGTTGGATACATTGGTTCTGAAGAAAAACTTTAGTGAGTCTAGAGAACAAAAATAACTTCCTAGCTAATAAGAAAAACAAACGGTGATTTATTAATTGATGATGCCGATGTCTTCATTGTGAATGCAGCTGTAAGTTACACACCAAGGTGGATAATGTTGTCAGGTGAAGATGACACCGACTTGTTGGTATTGTTGTACTACTACGCGCTGATGGAATTTTTCGATATATATTTTGAACCACGATAAAAAAGGAACTCAAAGGAAGCTACTAATGTATGAAATATCTATTAGGCGAAAAGCAAATTAGGATAAAACGTTCGTAGCAGCATTCCCTTCCTTAACACGATAGTAGGCTGTGACACCACATCTAAGATATACGGATTTGAGAAGGGCGTAGTGTTCTAGATATATGAAAGATGTAAAGAGTTCTCTACGTTGCTTCGACATTCAGTGGAAACCCTAGTGATATTACAGAGCGAGAGATTGTTGAGTCCAGAGAATCAGAACCGCAGGATAATGAAGAAGGACTAGTAACTGCAGGATAATGAAGAAGGTTTGTTTGTTTGTTTTTGAATTTCGCGCAAAGCTACACGAGGGCTATCTGCGCTAGCCGTCCCTAATTTAGCAGTGTAAGCCTAGAGGGAAGGCAGCTAGTCAGCACCACCCACTGCCAACTCTTGGGCTACTCTTTTACCGACGAATAGTGGGATTGACCGTCACATTATAACGCCCCCACGGCTGAAAGGGCGAGCATGTTTGGTGGGACGGGGATTCGAACCCACGACCCTCAGATTGCGAGTCGAGCGCCTTATCCACCTGGCCATAATGAAGAAGGACTAGTAACTTGAGTGCCAATAAGTCTGCTGAGAAAGTTGCAAAACGTTCTAGTTTCCTAGACCCTAAAGTACAGGTGCTACGAAATATCATAACTTAGAGCATATTTCCAAACACAGAAGCAGAAGAAAAGCTCACAGCCGTAAAGCGTATTTCCAAATACAGAAGTGGAAGGAAAGATCACAGCCTTAGATCGTATTTCCAAATACACGAGTGGAAGGAGAACGTATACCCAACAGAGCGAATGAAGATGAGAACTAAAAAAAATTAAACCATGGGACTACTGAAAGCTGACAAGTCATCATCACTGTTTAACCTGATGAAAGTTATCAGATGCAAGTGCAAGAAAATGTGCAAATCTGCTAGCTGTAGTTGTAAGAAAATAGGATTTGAACGTAGTACAGCTTGCAATACGTTCAAAGGCGTCAGATGTGCAAATGTAGCACAACCAGATGTACGTGTTAACTAAAGATGTGAAGGTTCGGCAATTCCTCCTGTAGTTTTCAGCTTTCCAAAAATTTAGAATTAAACTAAAAGTTTATTTTTAGAAATTAGCCACTTTTTGGGCATTTCTTTCACCTTTTGCCCTAAAATCGTTGAAAAATTATAATCAATCGCATTCTTTTCTTAGAATTAGGATGAAAACATATGATTTTAGAAATAAAGATCCAGAAAAAAAAATGTAGAATTGCTTCAAAAGTTAGTTAATTCCACTTCTTGCCCCCAAAAAAACCTTGTTCAGCACGTAGATCTTAGGGAGGATTTGTGATATGTCGTACGTACTGCTAATCACAATTGAATACAATCAAAATCATTTCTGTTCTATTTTTTATTAAGTTGTCTGCACTATACTTCTTATGAAGTATCGTGTGCTTAACAAACCTTTGGGTATTAATTAGATAAGACAGTTAACGGTAAGGACAATAAAAAGGTTAAAATCTAAAGAATAATTTAAATAAATATCCAAATGTTACGGAGAGGTCAGTAAAATTAAAATGTTAAATATTTTCGGTGAAACTTTTCCATTTCTACAGTCATCCACTGGCGAGTAAACAAAATAAAAAAAAAGTAGTATATTTAAAAGACGTATAAAATATCTATAGAATTTATAATCTTATCATTAAGCTCCCAGTTTATATAATTATAATTTGATTTCTGAATGTACAAAGTAAAAATCTCTTCTTCATAATTTTGTGAAGCGAAAAGCTATAACGAACAAGGACGTCTATAAAGGACTCTTCTATGAGTCAAGAAATAAGCATTATTTTTCACCACAGTTTAAATTATGATTCTAAATTCTAACAAAAATCGCAGACAAATTAATGAATCTTAAATAATCATCAACCTAAAAGCAACCATGACCCAGAAAACTAAAAAACAATCTAACTCCAAGATTTTATTTTGTTCATAAACAAAATTCTAAAATTATCCTAAAAATTGAAATACGTGAAGTGAATGTTCTAAATAATTTATATAATTTTATTTTCCCTTAAAATTCATACTTGTAACCTAGATACGTGACAGCAGGCAGCAATAGAAGCTACTTCGAGTTCACCATTCCTATGAATGGTTGTGGGACACAATCTACAGAAACTGATGGTCGTTTAAAATTTGATAATACCATCATCTTTCAAACCGAACTGTTAATACAGGAGCTGGGAGATAAGGCTAAAATGATATCGTGTGATTGGCAGTCCTTATTGGATAAACTGGTGACTTTTCGACCCTTTTTGGTTAATATGCTTGAGGCGGAACGAATTGAAATCCTCGGAGATTCAGTGGAGTGTTGGATGGAGATCCAAATCGGAGAAGGTCCTTTTGCTCCTATTGTGAACGGCATAGTTCGCATTGGAGATAAGATGTCGGTTGTTGTGTACGTACGAGACAAGGGTGCGGGTTATGATGCACTAGTTAAAGACTGTTACGCTTACGACAATGCCGATTTTCACAGTTCCGACACCAGCCGGGTACAACTAACAGATTTTCAAGGCTGCCCCCTAAAGCCGCAGCTGTTTTCTCAGTTCCTAAGAACTTTGGACACTCGCAACACTGGCGCAAGCCTCATCGCGTTTTCAACTATGCGTGCTTTCAAGTTCCCGGATACAATGAACGTGTACATCGCCTGTAAAGTAGAAATATGTAGGACGCCCTGCCAGACATTCTGTGACGACTTTCCTTCCGAGATCGTTTCTTTCGAAGAAGAAGCTTTAGAGCAACGACAAATCACAACAACCATTCTTCCATTTTTCAACCAACGAGACATTACAACCACTGCCACGGCGAATACTACGGTCACAGCTTTGCCAACAATGGACTCGACATCTACTCAGAACTTCACTAACACGCCAACAGACGCAGATATAACAACGGTTTCTACCACTCAACAGATACTCGACGCTCGCTCTTTCCGTTCTTTTCCGAATCAACGAGAGAAGATAAAGACGAATCGATATGCACGAGACTTAGGTCAATCTGAAAACCCCAGTAACTTTTCTCTCAACTTACTACAAAGTTTCTCCGTTGTTGGTCCAGAAGACCTCCCAGAATATGAAGCCACTATTGAGAACCAAGGATTAAACCCAAGCCGCAAAGATGATGATTGCATTTCGTATACTGTATTCGCTGTGGGAGTCAGCGTTTTGGGGTTTCTGTTGTTCTTCTTCTTGTTGTTAGCTGTCATCTTATGCATCAGACTGCGAGTCAGAAAAGAGGAGATAATGCTTACTAGTCCTCTGTATATCACTCGAAAGTAAAGTAACACTAAAATGGAAAATAAAACAATTTTCTAGTTCACCTCAGCCAGATTAAAGCGAGCTCGTTATCACATATAATAAGAAGGAGCTGTTGGAAACCACTTCAAACTTTGTTCGAATACAGGGTACTCAAAGCATTCATTTTGTGCTAAGTAATACAGTTTACCATGTTGAGCATGTTAAGTGATATTCCAAATCATGTTTAAATACGCCATCCTACCCTAAGCAATCTACACACAGCCACGAGCTTTACAACCACAATCTTTAAAACGGTTAGAATAATTATTATTATTGTCGTCTTATTCATAATCAGTGAGGGGGCGTTACTGATAAGTCGTTTTGCGTAATCGTATATAAATCACTAGTAAAATAATCCAACTTTAATCAAGATAAATGTGCCCAAGTTATTTTTGTATTTAAATGCACATACACAAACACACCTCTAGAAATGTGATGAGTAAAAAGTATCTTAAAATAAAATACACAATTTTATAATTATGTTCCAATAACACTTTTTTTTTTCGTTCCTTATTAATGATCGATTTTAACGATAACATGTATGCAAGTATAATTCTTGACTTTGTTTAACACAAACTGGAGTTTATTACGAGACATTTTTATAAACTTAAATAAAATAACGAACTGTGTCTCCAGAATGTAACTTTATTAACTCAATATTTCGATATTACAGCTTCGTCAGAAACTGGTCCGACAAGACCAGGTGGTTAGTGCGCTTGATTCGCAATCTCTGTCCCACTAAACATGCTTGCCCTTTCAGCCGTGGGGGCATTATAAAGTAACAATCAATCCCACTATCCGTTGGTAGAAGAGTAGCCCAAGAGTTGGCGATGAGAGGTGATGACTAGCTACCTTTCCTGTAGTCTTTCACTGTTAAATTAGCGACGCTAGCGCAGATAACCCTCGTGTAGCTTTGCGCGAAATTCAAACCAAACAATCGTCAGTAGCTATCGAGTTCCAACCAGTTAAACTGGATTAGTGAACTGGCAGGAAATTGGCAACTCGAGATGAAGCTGTAATAGCTACACGAGGCTTATCTACGCTAGCCGTTCCTAATTTAGCAGTGAAAGACTAGAGAGAAGGCGGCTAGTCATCACCACCCACAGCCAACTCTTGAACTACTCTTTTACTAACGAATAGTGGGATTTACCGTTACATAATAACGCCCCCGCGGCTGAAAGGGCGAGAATGTTTGGTGGGACGGGAATTCGAACCCGTGACCCTCAGATTGCGAGCCAAGCGCCCTAAGCAGCTGGCCATGCCGAGCCTCTCGAAATATTGATGGAGATATAGGTCGTTATTTTGCTTACGTTTATAAAAATGTATGTAATTCTTTTATTCAAAAAGTATCATTAAACCCGTTTCCTTCGAGAGACAGCGGTAAGTTTGAAAACTTCCAACGCTAAAATCCGTGGTTCGGTTCCCCGCGGTGGACACAACAGGTAGTCCAATGTGTTTTTGCTCTGATACAATAAAAAAAGTGGCATTAAACCCACGACTGTCACGCAGAGAAAAACCTTTTATTGTTTTACTAGGAACAATGTAAACCTATTTTCTTAATACTCTGGACGTGTAATTTTGAATATATACTGTTGAAATAAAATGATAAGTCGATTTGATGAAAAATATTTATATCTTCGAATTCCTAAAAGTGACTGCTTTAAGATTAATTTCATTTCACATTTCTAGGCAAAAAAAAAAAACGGAGACATACTGGTTATTTCTTATTTTGATATAAACTGGTAAGCACAAAGTGATATATGGTTTGGTTATGATGTGATAATGAAAACGACAAGAAAATTTATATCTATATAATAGTTTGCTCAATGGAATATAAAACACGTATGTTTAAATAAAATGTATTTATATGTTGTTGATTATCTCGTGTCATATTCATTGCCGTTTTAAGTAAATCGAACATTCGAGCTTCGAGTATATGTTTTATCTTCTACAATTTGTATACAGAGTAATCTTAATTTTATTTAGAAAAATATACAACTAGTCACTTAGCAGGAAGTAACATGAAGTGATCCTTGGCAGTATCATCGCCATTATACACTGTAATTAACACAGAACTAGAACTTAGCAGGAAGTAACATGAAGTGATACTTGGCAGTATTATCGCCACTATACACTGTAATTAACACAGAACTGTAACTTAGCAGGAAGTAACATGAAGTGATACTTGGAAGTATTATCGCCACTATACACTGTGATTAACACAGAACTGTAACTTAGCAGGAAGTAGCATGAAGTGATCCTTAGCAGTATTATCGCATTATACACTGTAATTAACACAGAACTGTAACTTAGCAGGAAGTAGCATGAAGTGATCCTTGGCAGTATTATCGCCACTATACACTGTAATTAACACAGAACTAGAACTTAGCAGGAAGTAGCATGAAGTGATCCTTAGCAGTATTATCGCCACTATACACTGTAATTAACACAGAACTGTAACTTAGCAGGAAGTAGCATGAAGTGATCCTTGACAGTATTATCGCCACTATACACTGTAATTAACACAGAACTGGAACCTTCTGATTCACTTCATCTCAATACATAATGGGTGCTCTGTACCTAACCCCACATCTGCCTGACAGAAGTAATAGTGTTTAGAACTTCTGCCTCAGTAAAAGAAATGTCTTACACAGTTTACCAATGTAGTCTTGTGCTTCTTATTTAAATTATAAATAAGAACACACTTTCTTTGACTTCTGGTTAAACCTCGAAGACTTAAGTGGAAGTAAACCGAAGAAATAATATATTTCTTATTTAAAAAGTGTGTATTGCAGTAATTAACCATCTGAGGCATATGGGTATCTATAGGACCACAAAGGAGGTTTTTCAATGACTATAAAACCACTAATTATTTTGTTCATACATTGAGCCTTTGTGACATTTGTTGTGTTAGGGTATATATTATTTTGTCAGATTTTTTTATACTCATGTTAGCTACTGACTAACACTTGGGATCTAATAGACCCCAAGGTGTAAATATGAAAATATTTCCAATTATGTTTAGCTTTTCTTCTACTTAAGTACTGCAAATGGATGCCAGGTAGCACAGTAATTCCGTAATTCTCAGCGACAATATGGCTAGGAAATAACTTGCCTGGAATGAAATACTGAAAGATTTAGAAGAGGAAGTAAGTGAACCTGAATCTAAGGAGATGAATCTTCCTGAATCTAAGGAGAAGAATCTTCCTGAATCTAAGGAGAAGAATATTCCTGACTACAAGGAGAAGAATCTTCCTGACTACCAGGAATATTCTTCTCCTTAGATTCAGGAAGATTCTTCTCCTTAATCTAAGGAGAAGAATCTTCCTGAATTTAAGGAGAAGAATATTTCTGACTCCAAGGAGAAGAATCTTCCTGAATCCAAGGAGAAGAATCTTCCTGAATCTAAGGAGAAGAATCTTCTGAATCTAAGGAGAAGAATCTTCCTGAATCTAAGGAGAAGAATCTTCCTGAATCCAAGGAGAAGAATCTTCCTGAATCCAAGGAGAAAAATATTCCTGAGTCTAAGGAGAAGAATCTTCCTGACTCCAAGGATAAGAATCTTCCTGACTCCAAGGAGAAGAATCTTCCTGACTCCAAGGAGAAGTATCTTCCTGACTCCAAGGAGAAGTATCTTCCTGACTCCAAGGAAATTAATATTCTCCTTCAGAAGTAAAAGTAGTTGGGGAGAAAGTTACAAACAAGGATTTGGCCAGTAGGAGTGATACGCAATATATCAATGAAAGCTTCTCCTTTGAGGAGAATGAAACTAAGGCATCGATTGGAAAAGGAACGGGTCAGTTTTCAAGATGAGGAATGAGAAGACCACCAAAACGAGGAAGGGTGCATTCCCCACAAGGACAAGGTGATGACCACTGCTGAACATAAGAAGGCACGAATCATTGTGCAGTATAACAAAACCAAGAGTGGAGGAGATAAATTGGATAAAATTGCTCGCACTTTACAAAACTGGTACAATGTTGGTCTGTGGCTGTGTTCTCTAACATACTGGATATTTCTGTCGTCAATATTTTCATCATCCGGTTATCTATTAATCCAAATTGGAATTAGAAAAAAAACACAGGCGAAGATCATTTGTTGGGAATAAACTTATGGAGAAGAAGTTAGAAAAGCAAGAACCTCAACCCTTCCGTCAAAACTATCCTACTTGAAGATGGCTATGTAGCTAAAAAATTTTAAAACATTTTTAAATATTTTGTGGAAGTTCTGTATGTATTGCTGTCTGGTTGTTGTTTAGCAGAATAGAAGAAAATTAGAATAAATCGTGACACCATATTTAAAGGTGGGATCTATTGGATCCCCAGTGTGTCTCAGTGTGACTAGAGGAAGGATGTGCTAAGGAGAGTTGAAATAAATAGACCTTTGTTTATACGGTATAGACTAATTATGCCAATGTGAGAAACAATACAAGATAACGGATTTTAGGCTAATACTTACGCATATTCTTAACTGATTTACTGTCGGTTATTCCCCCATTTTCAAAAAAAAAAAAGAAAGGAAGAAAGAAAAAGTTCGCTAACTGAAATTGCGAGTTCCTTTTTTTATATTTACAGACACTTAAAAATAATATTTCTCCAGCTGGCTTCATCATGTGTAGATTGTATCCGGCGAAACATTGGATAAGTAAATAAATATCTCCGGAGTACTATAAAGTTGTTGTTTTTTATGCGTTTGCAACTGTGGGATAAGATCAGTTAGTTTGTACACTGAAACACAGAAACTGTCTGCTGAAACTGAACTGGAAGCTTTTAAATTTAATGTAAAAAACTCGATCGTTCTTTTGTGTCAAAATATTAACGTATCACAGAATTGTCGCAATGTATTTCCATCGACTTTGTATCTGACTTTCGAAATTGGCACATGTAATTTCTTTTACGTTAAAAATAACAATAATTGCATCATAAGGAATATATGAAAAACCAAATAGTTTATAATACAATATTGTAAGACAAATTACGATTTTTTCCCCTCAATCTATTTGAGTTACTTGAAATGCACATCTTTGCAGTAGCAAACGATTAGGATTCAAATATCAGAGGGTTATTGACCTGGTGGTTAAGTTGGGCCTGGCATGACCTGATGTTTAAGTTAGGCTGGCATGTCCTGGTGGTTAAGTTAGACCTGTCAAAGCCTGGTGGTTAAGTTGGGCCTGTCATAGCCTGGGGTTAAGTTGGGCCTGGCATGG